ATCCTGAAAAGAGCAACAGCAAAATGCAACCTAAACCAATGGACAGGAGCCTTCCTGTTCCCTCCAAGGTTAGAGCCTTTTATCTCCACAGCCTTGTCACCTCCTACCACTGTGTCCACAGAAAGAATCCTTGGTTTTTTATAAAAATATGGAGGAAAGATCTTCCCAAGAGGAAGCGGCTTTCTCTAGGGCTGGGCTGGTTTCTCCATATGTCTGCTTATGGGGCTCTCCCTATGATAATGCAGCGTGCGTCTGGCAGATAGATCCCAGGCCCTTTTGTACAAAAGGCAAAGAGCTGCAAGGGTGAAAGAAAAACCAGCTACATTCCTGAGGACAATGGGAAAAATGTGCTCAGGGCAGGTATGAACAGAAAAGTAGCATTGGTCAATAGGGAACTAAAAAGCACAGTACAGCATGCAGATTGATCAGGCTTTTGGATTGTTACAGGACACATACCCTCATTTGACTGCTTCCCTTTTGACCTCTGGGTAAAGATGACTGGAATGATTGACAGTTTGTTTAGTCATCTCTTTCAATGAGTATACAAGATCAAAAATTGTCTGATTAAATAATATATGAGATATAGACCATAGCAGTGCATCTTCAGTAAGATTTTACAGTTCAAAGGTTACTGAAAGTCAGTGTTAGGGCCAAAAAGAAAAGAATTAGGGATACAAGGTCAACAGGACAGGCTTATACAAGAACAGACATGAGGCATACCTCTCCAGCACTATAAACCAGACTAGTAGCTCACATAAAGTTTACCAGGAATTTACGGAGTCCTGAGCATACAAAAGGGCACTAAGAGAGTGAAAATCACTAGGGGGGTTTCAGGGGGAGATTTCAGTACAAAGGAGTTGTGGCTGGCCCGTTAAGGATGTACACGGAGTTGTGTGTTTTTCTCAAGATGAGAGCTTTAATTTTTTTTCCTGATAGAGTTCTGCAGCATCTGTTATTGTTCCCAAATCAGTTATTAATTCCTTTAGAAGTAGCATCTCCCTTTCACTCAAATAACGTACTCTTCAGTTTTGTCACATATTTTCTCTGCATTTGCAGAGATTGCTCTCCTGGTGGTCACGTTGTATGCCGGTTCTGTGCCCATTTGTCACCCTCTGCACTACAGCCTCATCTTCATCCCGAGTCTGTGCACAAGATAGTGGGGAGCTCCTGGGCCTGTGACCTGGTCTGCTCTGTGATCCACACAGTGATCATGTTCAGGCTTCGTTTCACAAAATCTAATGTGATCCATCAATATTTCTGTGATATATCTCAAATTCTGAGGGCATCATCTTCAAATGGTCAGTTTCTTGAGTCTGTTTTCCTTTTAGTAAATGTCTGTGTCATCTTAGTAATTTTTGTCTTGTTTGTGACATATATGAATATATTCTCAACAGTGCTTAAGATACACTTTTTAGAAGTCGATCCCAAAGCCACAATGTCCTTTATCTTGCAGTTGGCAATTTTTCTTCTGTTTTTAATTTCTGGATTGGCTGCTGCCCTAGATTTCACTGCAGTGAAGACTCTGAAAAATCTTCTAAAAGCTGTGTTCTATACCCTAGTTCACAAACTGATAAACCCCATAATTTACAACCAGCATAGCAAAGAGATCCCTTCTGCTTTAGGAGACAGGTTCAACTGACCTTTTCCACTGTGAATAAGGAATTTCTTGGTAAAAATGCTTGATAGTAAGATAATTAGATAGAATTTTAACGTATATTGATAAAACTTTTACATTTGGGAAGATCTCTTTAAATTATCTGGTTGTTTATGGTCCCAATAACTTTTCTCTACCAAATGAGTATAAGATAAATGTCTTGCTTTTTGCTTCTTTAAAAATGTAGTGACATAATTCTTGTCTCTTTCTTAAGAAGAAAATACTGCAAGGTTGCTCTTGATTATGAAAATGCCGGAAATGTTTAAATACTGTGAGTTAAATGGAGGAAAGGATCACAGGAATGTGGTGCCTTAGATATCAGCACAGTCAGAGGTGCCTGCACAATGGACAGCAGGTCAGGATCCTGGACACTACTGACCCATAAGAGAACACTGAATAGTTAGGATGGAGAAGAGTGCTGAATAAATTGCTCTTTCATATGTACCCTTATCCAATGGCTGGGAAAATATTGAAATGATCTGGGCTGGTTGGAACTGAGGGTACCTTGCCAGTGTAATTCTGAAATTCTAGCCACATCCCTAAAATTGTCTCAGTTGTGATCCTTGAAGGTGGCTCACTCAGTGACATGGTGGATTATGGAATAACTGGGGTTTCTAGAAAACAGCTCAATTCTCTAGTTCTCCCTAAAAAATGGAAGCAAGAACAGATGCAACTCTGACACACCAAACTTTCAATGACACAGAGAAAATCAAACCATAGCCATGCAGTGGAATGGGAAGCCTCAGTGCTTGTTGGATTTCCCAGAAATTACCCCCTTTTTGCTTCTTGGCAATATTGGTTTTTTAAAGCTATGGTCGGAACCTTCGATGAACCTTAAAGTCTCATGTGCTAAAGGGCTGATTTGTGCCATTCTGCAATGTTGTTGGTTTACTTATGGCATCTGCTGTGCTTACTGATACATTTTGAAAATTTGGATGTAATCTTTCTCAATGTTTTCTTTTAATTTATGTTACTGCCTTGAAATAAGCTGATTGGAGTGAAAATATAATCAGTACTGAAATTTTTTCCTTGGCATTTTTGTGTTCTAGTAATTGAACTCCAGATCTTGCTCTTGTGAGGCAGATCCTGTACTGTAGAGCTAAATTCTTGACTGGGTTATATTTTGATGATTTAATCTTCAGTGTCATTTTGCTCTCAGGTTTAATGCAATCCTTGATTTATTTCATATTTTAGTGCATTTGGATTTCAAATCTTTTACTATAAATTCTCCTTTCAAAAATGTTAAATGATATTTTTGCTTCAAATTATGTATACATGCCCAGACTTCCTTACATTATCTGTATTATATATAATATATATGTGCACATATAAATTAACAATAGGACACAAGCTCTTTTCAGTTTTTCAATTTATTTTCATCATAGGAAACATGGACCCCAAATCAGAGTTCATCCCTTTGAACACACATACATGACACATTAAGATATCCCATACACTTTCCTGTATCAAGGCATATATATATATATATATATATATATATATATATATATATATATACAAAAATTAATATCTATATATTAATATAATTAAAAATATATAATATATTAATATAATTAATATATATTAATTTTTGCTAGAATGGGGCAATTTTAAAAACACTTAATTTTAATTTCTTTGAAATCTCTTTGAGACATAGAAACCCTTTATAATTCTTTTTGTGAAATGTTAATGTGTTACCTTAGACTATAAAGTTAATGTATACACAAAAAATTGCTATTCCACAACATGATCTAGCTTTTCTTCTATAATCAAATTCAAAGGACAATTACAGTACTGAAACAAACTCCTGACTGCACATTCGTGAACATCCATTTTCCGATCTTCTGAAAGCATTGAGTTCTAACCACGGAGCTTGCCAAGAAACTCTTGGTCATCTTTCTTTAGATGTCAGGAGTTGACAGCTGCACTATTAACTTACTGTAACACAATTAAATAATTATGACATTTGCCATTTGCAGATACTGAGACAGGGCTTTATTTGTGTCAGTCTCATGCAGCAGAGCACTGATTTCAAGTGAAAATGTAATAATGTTGCTGAAAGTGGAAAGGCAAGGAAAAAAATCAGGAAGATGCACATAAATTGTTCTCTAACATGCACATGTATTTAGAGATTGAAAATGTGTGAAATCAAGGGCTTTATGCTTTTTTGGAGTCATGTTTTATTTAAAACACACTTTGAAGTCTGAGTAGAATTTATACAAATAGAAGGTCCACTGGGTATGAAATAGGAACTAACTTCAAAAATATTCAGTGGGCAGACAGTGTCTGAAGGTGCCTTCAATGGCCACAGCATATCCTATGTGCTGTGTAACTGGCTCTGTACCTGAAGCTCAGGGCTCCATCCTGAGCCTCAGTTATCCCGCAGCACAGTGCACAGCTACTTGTTCCTCTGAGGGAGGACTAATTGAGGACAAAGTGTGATGCAGTGATGCTGCTCAGCAAGCGCTCATCTCCCTTCTCTGACAGAAGCTGTGAGCAGCCAGAGCAGGGAGGCAAAACTGTTTCCCACATCAGAACTGAACATAAATCTATGTGCTGAGGATACTGGAAATGCAATATGATACTGGGAACCTGGAGAAAGTAGGACTTGTCAAAGTGTGAGAAGCACTAGCACTTTTCACTTTCCTAAATTCCAGTGCATAATCACAAATCAGCAGGATGGTGCATATTAACAGGCCCACAGCTTTCAGAAAAGAAAAAAAAAATGTTTCCAGAAATATAGCTTATTAGAAAAATAAAGATGTAAAAGATTTAGTGTATTAATATGTTGAATACATCAAAATGTATCCAACAAGTAAAAATTGTAATAAATTTAAAGGCATGTTAAAAATTACAGAATTATCTTTAAAAAGATTTTTAAAGATTTATTGGTTCTGGGGATCAAACTCAGGACTTCAATATTGCCAGACAGTCATTTGTGCTGTTGAGTTATATTCATGGCCCTGCAATTATGTTTAAATCATAAATTAAATTTAAACATATTTTCATTGAAAAGTGAAGATCAGAACTTGTAAAAAAGTTTAACAAAGTGTAGAGATAGAAACATCAAATGATTAAGAGGAAAAATAACTTCTGTTCTCTGTATAGGGAACAGAAGAATAAGAATGACAATCAAGAAAGGTACAATGGAAAAGCCATAACATTTTGTGGAACACAGAAGCTGTAATTGAAGGATCCCAGAAAATTACCTACTTTCTTCTCAAACTGAAACCCTGAGATCAGCATTAAATACCACAGAGTTATATGACCTTGAAGGAGGCATCATCCCAACAGCTAGCAAAGGGAGGCACAAGGAAGGGAAAGTGCTAAAATGCTTTAGCTGTACTCAATTTCCTATTAGTCCCCTTCTCACTTTCCTTAGCACTTTATCCATGGCTGACCGAATGTCCCTGTTCCTCAGGCAGTAGATAATGGGGTTCAAGACAGGAGGCACCACAGAGTAGAGCACAGAGCATAGCAAGTCCCCAGTAGGAGAAGCTTTGGAGGCAGGCTTCAGATAAGCAACAGCACCCGAGAGGAAAAAGGTCCCTACAATCACTAGGTGGGGCAGGCAGGTGGAGAAGGCTTTGGACTGGCTGTGCCTGGATGAGATCTTCAACACAGCAGAGAAAATAAACACATAGGAGACCACCATGCAAACCAAACATGAGAATGCATAAAAAACCCCAAGGACCACACTGACATTGATGACAGCATGCTCTTCAGAACAACTGAGCTCTAGTAGGGATGGGACATCACAGAAAAACTGGTGAATCTGGTTGGAGCCACAGAACTCTAGGGAGGATGTCCCAGCTGAGTACAAAATCCCAAACACCACTCCACTGAGCCAGGACACAGCCACCAACTGGACACAGCACCCTTTGCTCATGACAGCCTCATAGTTCAGAGGATGGCAGATGGCAACATAGCGATCATATGACATGGCAGTCAGGATTCCCATCTCTGACCCTGCCATCAGGACCACGAGGAAGAGCTGAGACACACATCCCAAGAAAGAGATGGAGTCGCTGAAGGTGACAGAGTTGACAATAGTTTTGGGAACTGTAGTGGAGATGAGACACAGGTCCAAGCAGGACAGATGCCTGAGGAAGAAGTACATGGGAGTATGAAGGCGGTGGTCGAGAACTGTGAGGAGGAGGATGGTCAGGTTCTCCAGCATGGTCACCAGGTAGACTAGGGAGAAGAGGGTGGCCTGCAGCCCCAGCAGCGCCCTGCTGTCCGTTAGTCTTAGGAGCAAGAAGATTCTCAGAAGTGTCTGATTCCTCATATTGTAAAGTTGTAGGATGAGTCTAAACGCAAAATGGTGAATTATAAACATCATACTACAGGATCAGTGAAAAATTTACAGAAATAAAAGGTGATTAAGACACTGAGAAAGTCAGGGAAGAGGAATGTGTAGGAGGAACAAGAGCTACACACAATTCTGCAAAGCCATCCATGTCTGTAGCATCACAGCTCACTCCAGCTCAATCCAGGAAGGTGCCTGGAGTCAATCATGGATGAATGAAGAAGAAAATGTGGTTTTATACATAATGCAGTACTACTTTCTCATCTTTAAAGACAGATAAACTTGAGCCCATTAGTAAGAAAATGGGCAATTTGGGGCCATCATGTTAACTGAAGAAAATCAGACACAAACCTTACAAATCACATGGTTTCTCTTACATGGGAAACTCATGGTATAAATACATGTCAAATAAATGAGAAACATAGGCAACAGAGAGAACTTTGGTAACAGGGAAAAACAAGAAATGGGAGGATGGGAAGGGAAGGTGGCTTAGAAGAATTGAGATGTGCTGTGTTCATGTACCAATCAGACAAATAGGTTCACAGCACATAATCTGATATTCAGTCTGCAATCTTGAGACATGCATTTAAAAACATCAGGGTAGTTAACTTTGTATTCAAATAATAAAACAGGGATGGAAGCAACAGTTCAAAGTGATTCCATTTAGATTCATTTTGTCATAAGAAACAACTTCTGTTTGTCTCCAAAATAATGAGAAATTAAATGAGCCTGATTTTTCCCATTAAGACTTCTGTTTTGGCTGTGCAATAATCACTGGGATAGGGCACAGGGTGCCCCTTATATGAATCGATGTGATACTCATTGGTGTAATTTTGTGCGCATTAGAAGTGATGGGTGAACCATCTGCTTGGTGTGCACTGAAATATTAAATCATCAATAATGTGCCACCAGTCAACTGAGCTTCTGGAAGAGGAGCTTAGAGAGATCTCCCTGTTAGGACATTCTGCAACTAGGAGTCCATTCCTTAGAAATGAACATATGAGATGAAAAAACTAAAAGTAAAACGTGAAACATTTATCATTATAAAGTGACCTCATAATTACATAGCCCCTTCCCATTTGCAAGACAAGAAGATTGTTTCTCTGGTTTTTCATGAAAAATTTAAATTCTTGGTCTAAATGTTATTACAGCATCTGCTCTTTCTTTTCCTCTCCAGTGCAGCTATTTAGCATAGAGACACCAAGCAGAGAGGTGCTGTGTTGTCACAGCAAGGCCCTCTGGGCTCCCATGGAGAGGGACTGGCTTATTTAAGTCTTTGGATTTGGGTCCCTAGAGTCCCTTTGCACTGTCCATCACTCCAGTGTCATCCCAGTAATTCTCCTGAGGACAGCCCTTCTCCTCTGCAAGGTTAGAGGGGTTTTTGTGGGCCCTAAAAGATCATCTGCAGTCCTGTCTCATAAGTTGTCTTATGATGCAGACACTGGGTGTGCACTCAAGGGACAATGAACCAAGTCTTGCTGAGCTTGGAGCTTGGCAGTACCTATGATCCCTGCCCACACTGCTCTATAGACCAATGAGGATCAAAGATTCCAGGATTCATAATCCTCACAAGATATACACACCTGCCTGAGGAGCTCTTTAAGATTAAAGTTCCTGTAAGATTAATACCTTAATTCCCCGGGACCTCAGAGTCTGTCTGCTCTGTGCACTCACAGGAGAGCAGAGTCTGCTAGCCCTACAGTCCATCATGGCCCCCTAGTCCCTACCCAGAAAATGGGCTCAGCCTTGTCATCTGCCCTGCAGAGAAGCATTTTCCATCCTTCCTTTTCTGATTGCTCAACTCCTGACCTGCTTTGCTCCTTCTCGGTAAATAAAGTGTGATCCCAAGAGGAGGAGCTGGGATGGACAGGTGATGTCTGACCCGAGCTGTTTCTCTCTCACAGCTGAGACAGAGTTTCTATCAATAAAACCTTAATATTAACATTTGTACACTTCCCTTACTGTTTTTCCCAAATACAATTATTACTATTTTTAATAGAAATCCTCCCACAGTTGAACATTTTGAGTTGATTTGGAGAGAGTGCATTTATAACTTTTCAAAACACCAGTGCTTTCCATTTTCATCATATAGAAAAAATGGTCACCTACTTTGAGAGACTGTGTCCATGGAAAATAGCAATATTTTAATGTTGAACATAACGTTCTGTAAAATCCAATATGAATGCAAATAAAAGAGATCATAAAAATTTTCTTCCATGTAATTTAGGCACAATCTCAATCAAGATGACTGATAGAATTTAATCCCCATATTAATTGTTCTAATATCATCTTTACTCTTAAGGATAAGGAGTTAATATCAGAAAAACAAATTGAATTGATAGTAAAGGGAAATAAAATTTTGCTATAATTTAATTTTGATTTTTAATGAATGAAGAGGACAACAAAATAGATTGACCAAAATAAAAGAAAAAGGAATTTTAAACTGGCTTTTCAAAGTTGAAAATATGAAGATCAAAATACTGGAATATCTGTATCTTCAATTAGTCATTTTAAATGAGCACATTCTACACACCTGTCACTCCCTGTACTGCTCCCACACCTGTGCGTTGGAAGCCAGACTAACACCTGCAGTCACCATGTGAAGAAAAGGTCTTCTTTGCTCTAACTTCAGGGGATGTGCATATCAGTATTTGTATCACATCATTGCTTTCTGAGGGTGAGCTCCACTTCACATTCTTTATAAAGATGTATTTGCACTTGTGGTATGTGGCTTCCCTAAAGAAAATCTGCCAAAAATATTAGTGCTATGACAGTGACACGCAGGTAGTTAAAAAGTTGAAAAGTTTGAAAGAAATTGCAGAATGGACATCATGAGACACATGTATTTAGAGAGCTTAATACATAGAGTTCCACATATAAAGAACCGGGATACAGCACTATGTGCTTCATACCTTACTTCGCAGCAATCTTATCTTTTATTACAGTGCATGGTGAGTTGTAGGGATGAACTGCTCACAGTGTACTGTCACAGTCTGCATCGGAGGAGGGAGGGCCTGCTCCCTCCCTGTGCTGGCTGAAAGCTGGGGAGGAAAGAAGCCAGTGCTATGTTGAGCAGCAGTGTCTTGGCCTTGCCTTCAACAGCCAGCTGACCATTTCTTACATCAAACAGTCTGGGGGAGTGGGTGTGAGAACAGTGATTGATCAGGAAGGGCGAGACACCATGGTCTAAGAAGGATGGAGGAAGTGAGGCAGAGGGAAAGAGAGCTACACTGGGCTTTGGGAGACTGACAGAATAAGGAAGCGAAATCCTGAGAAAGAGGAAAAGCTCAGTGGAAAAAAAGACACTTTTCCATTTGAAACAGAAAATATGCAGAACATTTTAGTTTTTTCTGCTACTCCATCCTCCAGTGTCATCCAAGAGAGTGACCAAGGAAGGATAAACAGCACCCAGCAGGATCTCCTGTACCTACCTTCATAGGACCATCCACAGCAGTGCAGGTGATTTTCTGAGAAGTTTAGGGAGAGGTCAGAGGGAGTGAGGCTCCTGACCTGTGTCACAGGCAGTTTTTTCTTCCAGCAGGGAGCATCTCCTTTAAAGCACTTGAAGTCTCCTTTACATGGGCTTCTCCCAAGAGGCCACACACTGGCTGTGCAGGGACTTTCTCGGGATCTCAGTTTTCTTGGAAACCAGGCATCATGCATAGGGCCCTGGGAACCAGCTCATGCTCTAACTAGGGCAGGAAAGGTACACAATGAGCTCAGAGGCTGTTTTCTAACTGTACATCACAAAGTATGGCCATGATCAAGCAATTAAAAACCTCTTAAAGCAAATCCCCCATGGTAGGGATTATTTTAAAATATTCTATTGCATGGATTCCGAAGGAACAAAGTTAAAACAGAGGAAAATACTAACTAAAGTAATATTGGATTGTATGCCAATGTGAAATAAAAATATCCATATACTGTATTCATACACATGAAGCAATGCTTAAATGGAAAAGGACACAGACTTCCCTAGCAGAAAATTAAACACTTTATTCTGTCTTGTCATATAAACTGTCTCCCAGAACTTCATGTTCAGACACACACAGTGGACTTTCTCTGCAGAGTATCTTGTGAATTGTTTGTGAGGTGGTGTGTGACTTTGTGGGTGTGACATCTGACAGGTTATCCCCCAATCAACCCCAGACATAAAACCATCACTCATCTTTGTGGGGAGCAGCTGCACTGGAGATTGGTCATAAATCTGGGGCTAAGCTAGTCCCTGAAGTCAGACAAACAAGGTATTAGGTGGGTCCTCTCTCCCGTTAGCAGAGGGGTTTCATGTGTGCTCACCCTCTTGCCGATTAGATAAATAAACACACTGGTCACTGTGCAGGACCTTTCTCCCAGCAGGAAGGAGGGCTTCCTGAACTGTGACTGTCATCTGCATTTCTTCATCTCCACTTCTTCCTCCTGGAACTTTCAGAGCTGCACTGGGTGTGACACCTCTGCCTCTTGACAAGGAGGGGAGAAACTGGTACCTTGTCTTGTTATCATCTTTCCAGGAACACCACTAAGATTCATAAGAAAGAATCAGGCAGGTATGAGTTAAAGAAAATCACAAAAATATCTGTCCAAAAATCTCTAGTTCTCAAGGTCATTAGATGTGAGGACATCAAAAAAAAAAAAAAAAAAGGAACAAATTCTGACAAGTGTAATATAACTGTACTGTAAAATGGTCGATTAGAGGAAAGCCTGTGAACATGATGACTGCATTAGGTTGATGAAATGAAAATCTATGTAAAGTATGGCTTTTATCCAGTACCTGCCTCACAATGGTATATTGAGCATAACAGATACCCTACACCAACATTAGGTATTACTATTAAAGGAAACAGGACCTGTGTCATATAGGAACTTTCTAAAACTTTGCAAATTTTTTATTAAGAAACAAAAAACTACTGTAAAATAAAAACTTTTGAAATATATCCTTGCGCTTCCTGTACCCCACCCAATATTAATCTAATCCCACAGTC